CCCGACATAAGTCGAAGGCTAAGAAATACCCAGAACTTGCAGCCGGGTGGAGCTTTCATCACACCGAAGGGCCCCTATCTGCGATAAAGGTGAAGGGAGTTGCTCGCAAGGGCAAGTACGGGCAGGTGGTTGTAGAGCTGAGCAAGGAGCTCCGGTGCGTTGTTGCGGCGCTCTTACGAGTATCGCCCTCCATACGGAGGGCGCTTCAATCTGAGAGGGTACACAGAGTGGCTACCAACTTCTATCCAACCAAGATTAGCAGCGGGGATGGCACAACCAAACACGGTTGCGACGTATATGTGAAGGACACGTCTACAACACCGATAGAAGCATTCAGGGTGCGGACAATGGAAGATTATTATCTTTACCCATCGACTATCTCCTGGAAGAAGGAGAGTCGCACATACAAGTGTACCCTGGGAATTATCCCTTATAGCCATGTCGGAGAGTCGAGAACGAGTCAGCGAACATGCAAGCAGAATGAGGATAACATCCTGGTCGTCCCATGCGACACACTGGACCAATTATTGAAAGTATTTGAGGAGCGATGGACATCCGCATCCACTGGAGAAGAGGATGAGGAGAAGGATGATGATGAGTTATACGCTTGAATAGTGGTACGAAGTAATGTGTGTTTTTAAACACAATAATTGCATAACCCACACCAGACATGCAAACACTGCACTCACACATGCATACACTTACACACATATCACTTCTCGGTGGAAATTATTCTTTATTCTGTTTTCTAGTAGTGTAAGATGTATGACAAGATGTAGTTAGAAGAAAGACTTAGACTGCGAGTAATACTTGTATGAAAGATGTTGAAAGAAACAGATAAGAAAGAACTCCACTTAGATGTGGGTGCAAATGATAGATCAGTATTAGAATTTTAGGTTTATAGTTGACGCTCTTTAGCGTAATAATTATTCTTCCAGAGCGGAAGAAATAGCGGCTTCGTTTTCGGATCTTGGTTATTCTCACCGTCATTGAATCGTGTTCAAACGAGATGTCTTGGAATGTCATCGTTTCATTGTTTTTCACTCGGACAATGTCGTCCACATCCCCACGCTGCTGTTGGTTTGCATTCTAGATCTGAAATTTACAATGCAAAATGTACAATAAAATTATTGTACATTTTTGCATTGTAAATTTCAGATCTAGAATGCAAACCAACAGCAGCGTGGGGATGTGGACGACATTGTCCGAGTGAAAAACAATGAAACGATGACTTTCCAAGACATCTCGTTTGAACACGATTCAATGACGGTGAGAATAACCAAGATCCGAAAACGAAGCCGCTATTTCTTCCGCTCTGGAAGAATAATTACGCTAAAGAGCGTCAACTATAAATCTAGAATTCTAACACCTAATGAGCAATCATTTGCACCCACATCTAAGTGGAGTTCTTTCTTATCTGTTTCTTTCAACATCTTTCATACAAGTATTACTCGCAGTCTAAGTCTTTCTTCTAACTACATCTTTTCATACATCTTACACTACTAGAAAACAGAATAAAGAATAATTTCCACCGAGAAGTGATATGTGTGTAAGTGTATGCATGTGTGAGTACAGTGTTTGCATGTCTGGTGTGGGTTATGCAATTATTGTGTTAAAAAACACACATTCCTTCTTACCATTGTTCAAGCGAATAACTCATCATCATCATCCTTCTCCTCATCCTCTTCTCCAGTGGATGCGGATGTCCATCGCTCCTCAAATACTTTCAATAATTGGTCCAGTGTGTCGCATGGGACGACCAGGATGTTATCCTCATTCTGCTTGCATGTTCGCTGACTCGTTCTCGACTCTCCGACATGGCTATAAGGGATAATCCCCAGGGTACACTTTTATGTACGACTCTCCTTCTTCCAGAGATAGTCCATGGGTAAAGATAATAATCTTCCATTGTCCGCACCTTGAATGCTTCTATCGGTGTTGTAGACGTGCCCTTCACATATACGTCGCAACCGTGTTTGGTTGTGCCATCCCCGCTGCTAATCTTGGTTGGATAGAAGTTGGTAGCCACTCTGTGTACCCTCTCAGATTGAAGCGCCCTCCGTATGGAGGGCGATACTCGTAAGAGCGCCGCAACAACGCACCAGAGCTCCTTGCTCAGCTCTACAACCACCTGCCCGTACTTGCCCTTGCGAGCAACTCCCTTCACCTTTATCGCAGATAGGGGCCCTTCGGTGTAATGAAAGCTCCACCCGGCTGCAAGTTCTGGGTATTTC